AATAATGAGATATGTTATTTAACATCCCCCTTTTATCAGGGGATAATTCGATTGATTTTGTGAAAAAAATTGTTCCTTAAATTTGTAATTAGCTTTCAATACTTTCTATATTTATCTCATGTCTTCAGCATGGGAGTTATTTCTAAGCTTTCTTTGATTTGGTTTGACATAATTCACTTAATAATCAGCCACTGAGATTTCTTCACCATACTTAAATGATTCTGAGCTATAAATACTAATCCTATAAATGTCACCCTATTAAACACAGTTTAACGACTCTCCGTTTCACTGTTTTAAATCTTACATTGTTTTCACTTTTCACAGAAATTTACATTTTCTTTGTTTACGTTTATTCAAGGACATTTTTACGACCAATATCATATTTTCAAAATTTCTGTAATTTATTTTCAGTTCAGAATTTGACATCTTTCAATCAAAAGTATATTTTCTATGTTTTTTCTAATTTTTACACTAATTTTGAACCAAATATTTTCACCAAAACCTGAAAATAAATCACCACAATGCTGTGAAAAATGACAAAAGTTGTCAGTGGCCAAAATTAAAATAAAAATCTGGAGATAGTTCCAACCAAATATGAGTTGAATGGATAGTTAAGTCAGATGTTTTTAAATTTAATAATCATATTTCTGTTTCAATGACATTGAGTCTGAGCTATCCATACATATAAACTATCAGATTGTGCTCAAAATAGAAGTAGAAAATAATTATCCCATTTTTAACGTGTTGATTTACAAGAATATTCATATAGTAATCTGCCAACCCGCCACTCTTGTTGCTTGTCTGTTTTTTTTTGTTTTTGTTTTTTTATGTTTCCTTTTATTTATTTTTTTTTTATTTATATTATTTATTTTCATTAGTTGCTTGTCTGTTTACATATTCGAATTGTGCGCTTCATTTGTGTTGTGTTTTTAATTTTTTTGACTTTTTTTTTGTGCCAGGTGACATTGAATGTCACTGTTGTCTATCTTTTTTTTTCCATGTGCAAATTTCAAGTACTAGTACTGACACATAGTGCATTTTGCCACAGAAGCCATATTCATTTTCATGACTACATGACAGGACTGTGCAGCCATCATTTGCACTATCCTGGTGTCGACCAGACCTGGTTGAAGACCTGCAAGTACCTGCAATCTTAACCAAGGTTCTCCCAAAGTCGCATCCATAAATGAATAAATCTAGGCCAATGGAATTGGCCTTCCTTTGAGTCTGTGGCACACTCACCCAGGGTAGGGACTGACTCTTTTTTGGTATTCAGTCTAAGTTTAATAGGATTTGAACCTGGTTCTACCTGATGCATTTGTGTTGTGTTGCCAGCGATTAGAGTGGACATGATCGTGTTGCACAAGTGAGGTATCATTGAGGTTTTCAGCTTCTGTATTGACAATATTTATCTTATTGTCCCAGTATCAATTTGCTTGAACCTGTTCGTACTTAGACTTTTAACATTTTGCATTTCGAGATCATAATTCGCTCTAAACGTGGCAGCCAGCATGGTGTGTTTGCGTAGTTTGACATACAGATGCCATTACAATGGAATGTCAATGTGACTTGCCTAAACTGAAGGGTATATTGTGAATTATTTTATTCCAGGTGACCGACTCAACCCAAATTGGCTTGGCAGAATATGGGAGATGACAATTATATTTAAAAGTCAATGAATTAAATGGAAATACTTTTATCAAAAAAACACTCCACATTGATTTGAAATAGTCAACCCTTTATTCCAAGAGAGCTAGGGAGTCCTTATCTAATTTGTTGAGCAGTATTCTGCTGTCTTGCAAAAGGTTGCTGACATAATATCACTCGCCAAACACCCTGTTGACTGTGACAGTTTTATTCAAACTTACCTTACTGTAACCTATGTATCTTGATTGGGTCCTATTTTTTTCAATGATTAAAACGTGAAATGGAAAGTACCAGTATTTACATGCAGATTAAATTATGTAGGAAGCAATTAGGCTTATTACTTTGTAATAGACGATGAAATATATCAGTTAGAATGAACTGATCATGCATAATTAAACGCAATTCAACTGCAAGAGCTTTACATTAATTTGCATAACAATAAATGTATATTTTCATTTTTAGTAACTGTAATATCTTTTGTTCAACATGTAGTTAAAATGATTACATAATATTCTTGTTAAAACAGCACTCATGCTGGATAGTGAACAATTTGAATGTTAAAAAATATTACGCAAATTAGGAAATTTTGGCCAAACCATAAACCAGGGGTACCAGTGTATTAATAAGTACCGGTAATTCTGGTTGCACTGTGAATTTTAAGTTCTTCTGTAAGCCGTGATTTTTTGCCTTTTTTTTAACAGTTAAGTAAAACATGTACATTTCAGAAAGAATACTTATTTTAATCTAGTTACTGTAGAATACTTTATTTTCGCTTGGAATTTATTTTCGCTATTTTCGCTGAAGGGATGATTCCGTGAAAATAAAATCCAGCGAATATACTTTTTTTCCTATATTTAACATTAAACTCATCAAAAATAAATTCCATACAAAACGCCCAAAAAGCCTTTTCAGCGAAAATTAATTCCAGCGAAAATAAAGTATTCCACAGTATCCTTTATGTTGATGTGGTGCAATATTTGAGGACAATCTTTGACAGTTCTCCATAATCGATGTCTACAAAGAAATCCTGTACACCTGACTTATTGTTCTCATTTCCTCTGAAAGCTTAGATAATAATTAGTTTGAAACTAATTTTTGCAAATCTAGGGAGTCTTAAACCTAAAGATTGACATGTATGTTTAATAAAACTGAGAAATTTAAATGCTTTGGAAATAATGAAATTGATATTGTAGTTAAAACTAATGTTGCTGCTGATGTAAATGCCAAGGTCCTTAATAACATAGACCTGTTCTAATGGTACGTGCATTGTTAATGGATTATCCACTGGATCCCATAGTGAACACAATGCAGTGCATTGACTATATTGCTATAACAATTAAGAAAACAGAAAATTTAAAAGTAGTACTGCGCAAAATATACTGTCAAATAAATGAAAAATTCAAATATAATGTGGAGCCTTCTCCTTACCATCAAACCATACTTTGGTGGTCATTTTGAATTCAAAACGAGTTACAATATTGGTATTCAAAAAATACATGAAGTTCTTTTTTGAACTTTTGTGTTTGGTCGGCATGTGTACATGTACATAATTAGTTTGGATATTATAGCCCATAATTGGTCTCCACTTAATAATCTTTATTATTAATCCTTTCGAATGCAGTCGGGAAAATAGGGCACTTGTGGATTGTGCGCCAATGTGTATGTGCATGCATGCCCATCTATATCTCGGACATGTCTGGGCTGTTCACATTTAAACATCACATATAAATCATGGGATATGCATGGTCATTTGTTTCACAATCTGATTCAAGATGGCCGAATGACGGCCATTTTTATCAAAAAATTCAAATTCATCAAAATCAAGCATTTCTGTCATTCCGAAACTGAATCTTGGTCGAGTTTAGGTGAATTTTGTTTAAACGTGATACATACACTGAACATAATAAGACCTTGATGTAGTCATTTGTTTTTTCAGTTTGGATTCAAAATGGCCAACTGGCCAATTTTTTACAAATGATGTTCCGGGGGTATATCTCTGACATGCCTTAATCAATCATGCTCCAACTTTATATGTACATTATGTACCATGTCTCACATATGCACATATAGTTGTTTCAAGATGGTAAAATAGTGTTTTAAAATCATCAAAATCAAGCATTTCTGCCATTTCAAAGCCAGATCTTGGCTATACATGGACAGCTATTAAAAAAAAAAGAAATAAGATAAGTGCATACTTTGAGGTATCTTCGTAATAACCTTATTATTATACATCTTTTCCCTTCAAGGATACATCATGGAAATTCCAAAATCCAAAAAGTTTAGAACAGATTGAGCGAACTTCTTTGTGTGAAATCCGGTCAAACCCTGGTGGCAGCCATGTTTGTTTTTATTATTAGAGAACGCTTACGCGCGTAATCATTCCATATTTGGAACTCACATTTCCTAATATGGTATGATGAAATACCCCGTAAAATACCGCAAAATTACGGCACGCTGTAACTTATGGCGTTACGGTGACAGATGTATAATAATAACTTGTATTTTCCCTTCCTTGGAAAAGAAAATACTTACACATTTATTTGTTTAATGTTCTGATTCAAAATGGCCGACTCATTTCAGTTTACTTTGCTATTTAACTAATAGGTACACTGTCATGTCATGACTTAAACCAATTGATTGATTAGTTGATATAGTACATTTTGTAGCATGTACCTCAATATTGCTACAGTGTTTTCAGTAGTCCTGTTTAAGAGTACATGCTTCAATAAGAACTCAGACGCATGACTCCAGTATGAGACCAAATAGTAACATAAAATGCAGTTTATTGTGTTGGAACTTAATATATTAAATTATAATGAAAAAAAAAAGTTTAACTACCAGTACAGCTTTTTTTCCTGTGCTGGATCTCACATAAAGAGATTCATTTTGACATGATTTGTGACTGAAGTTTGTTTTTTCATTAAATTGGGTGCAGATCATTTTAATATATAAAAAAAAAACTGGTTTCCACCTGAAAATGTGTGGTTGTCAAAACAAGTTTTTGTGTTAGCATATTTCATTCACCTTTTGTCATCTTTTACTATTAGCTGAATAATTGTTGCCAAGAATGTCATATTAGGATCTGGCTTTTCAGACACTGCTCAAAAAAAGATGTTAAATCAGTATTTTCAGCAAAAATGTTGGTACTGCAGATTACTTGAAATATGCAACATTGGATCAGATTTAATTTTGTGGTTTTCACGATATGGACAAGCAGTTTTCATATTTGGTTGTCCTGTTACAAAAAGTCGTTGTCAGTGACAACCAGACAATTGCCAGTTTTAACCCCTATGTCAATACGAGACTATGTTTTTGAAGACTGACCATCATTGACAGTATTCATTTACTTGCAGGTATCCATTCCTTTGCTGATATGTACTCTTGTGTGGATTTAGAAAACGCTGCAAGAAGATACATTTATCAACACTTTTTAGAAGTGATTAAAACAGAAGAATTCCTCCTCATATCTCATAATAGCTTGATAGATCTTTTAAAAAGTGATAAACTTCAAGTCACTCGCGAAGAAGAAGTTTATGAAGCTGCGATGAAATGGATTAAAATTGATTATTCCAATCGTAAACATTTGATGTTTAAGTTAATGCAACATATACGACTGGCGTTGCTTGATATGCACTATTTAAAAGAAGTTGTTTACAAGACAGATTGCGTTTTACAGAATGCAGAATGTCGGAGTCTTGTGGAGAAAGCGTTAAAGATACGCAATGATAATCAGGCATTGGCGTTGATAGGAAACCGAGCACAGCCTCAGAGTATTTACGTAGTTGGTGGTCGGAATAGCGTAGATTGCCAGTTAAGTAGCCTTGAGAGGTATGACGCCATCAGAGATAAATGGGTCCCACAGGTGAGTTAATGAATAACAAACTATTACATCATCATGTCCAGTTTCTTTCATGTTTTTTCATTTGTCTGACACTTATGTTTCTGTATTTTTTGAAAATATGATTGCAAAATCCATGTGAAGTATCACAATAAGGTCTTAGAATAATTTTTTTGGCCAATTACAACATTTGTTACATACATGTATTATGCTAATTGCACCGTTTGAAACCTGTATTTCAATTGGCAATTGAAAATGTGAAAATTGATAGACTGTTCTAGTTGATTGAACCTGGACTTTAAAGTAGTACATATAACAACGATCTAACCTTTTCACCACTAAACTTTTCTGCACTTTTTTCTTATGTTCTTCAATATTTCTGGAAATGAACCCTAAGTTTGGATCCAACAGACAAGATTGTAGTAAATTTTCAGTTTTTACTTAGAAAATTTGGCTATTTTTGTCCCAATCTTCTGAAGGAAAGTGCTGACTAATAAACGGGACTATTTTGTGAATTTGTGATGAAAAAAGGGAACTGGTTGTGAAAATGTTAAATGACAATGGTATGTAAATTATATATCGATGCATGATTATATAGGTATAAAATGAAGATCCTATTCTATGCGAGTTCTATGTGCATACCAATCTAACATTCTATCTGAAAGCATTACAGAATGCAATGGATGCATGGACAGAAATAAAACTTTCACTTTATTCAAAAAGACAAAAAATTTTAATTAAGGAATAAATCACTTCCACATATCACAAAATACTCAACAATTCACACATGTATGCACACACCACAGAGTTTGACCAAATTTTGGTAAAATTGTTCAGCATGTTGTTTTGATGTTATTAATGTACCTGCTATGGTTACAGGAGTGCATGACGATGGCAAGGACTGCGGTAGGTGCAGCAACGCTTAACGGAATACTTTACGCAGTTGGAGGGGAATGTGCTTTAGCTGACAGTGAGGAAACAATGTATTTAAGATGCGTAGAATGTTATGATCCTTTACATAAACAATGGATTCAGGCGGACGATATCAACGTTGCAAGGTCTTTTATAACTGTGGCGGCTTTGGGTGGATATCTCTATGCTATCGGTATGTAATGAGGATATTCTTATTAAAGTGCTAATTAAGAATTCATTTGTAGGGCATTGATATAATTAATGACATTCCATCTAATTGCTAAATTACAATACTATAAATAATTACACTAAAATAAATAACATAATGTATGTGTAAAATGGTAATGCTAATTAGAAATGGAAGTTACTGTCTTGTATTGATGTGTTGACTTCATAGTTTTTTTTAATGACCTTTCTGTTCACAAAGCATCAAGGAATTTCTAATACTTTGATAAGACTGTGTTAATTATGTTGTCTGGATAGGAGTGTCACCTGAGTGCCATTACTGTGAGCAACTTTAATGTCGGTTGTACATTATTTTCTATGACATATTTTTCCCTAATTTATATACAGTGTTTGATGTTGTACTATATCTGCTCTATTGGGTGCATGTTTTGGTTGGATTTTGAAGTACAATCAAACTTGCATTGATTCATTCATAGTGAAAGAGAAGCAGTGTTCATATACCACCATTAGAGCACAAGAGGGGACAGAATGTATTCATTTCCAGATTATTAGGCAGTTTGGACTACCGTACTGAGCATGTTACTGCACATATATGCAATGCATTATGGGAGATAACATATCATTGTATATAATGTATTGTGGAAAACTAGTATCACCCTAGAAACTCACTAAATTTATACGTAAATCTTTTGAAATTATTTTCACAATGTTAGATTTTATATCAATAATAATAAACAACCTTTTCATCCCATTGCCTTTTACTCCTCAGTGACGACAGTACTCCTACTAGTCATGTGATGTGATGTGGCGGAGTGTTGCCGTGGTTGTAAGAGCTGCACCTGGCCTTTTACTCCTCAGTGACGACTGGTCATGTGATTGTGGTGAAGTGTTGTGCTCGACTTGAGCTGAAACAATTTGACTCAGACTAGCGTTGATTGGCAATGCGCTGGTGATGAATTCATGAAATATAACAACAGTGTTTGTTTGTCTTGTTTTTCTCAGGGGGAGAAAATAGATCATGTAGTTTTAATACTGTAGAGAGATACGATGACAGGACAAATGAGTGGTCACTAATATCAAGTATGAAGAGAAAGAGAGCTGGTGCTGGAGTGGCCGTTTGTGATGGAAAAATTTTTGTTGCTGGTAATATTTAAATTAAAATCGTTGAACAGCATGTCTATGATATCGGGTCCCTTGCAACAAACACAGTACATGAAAACTACATACCAGTAGTTTCAAAAACATGTTTGCGGTTCTTTAATTAACTATACTATATTGTAGTGGAAATATTGTTGGAATTTGTACCACAGCATGATGGATGGTAAGGTCAGAGTGCACTGAGGCTATTCATGGCTATAATACTGTAAGGTTATTACAAGAAAACTGCAAAGTATGCATGAAAGAAGTATAATGATAGCGTTGGTCGATACAGTGCCATCCCATACTGCCTGAGTGTACACTTTGCAGTATTCTCGTGGTAATCTTATTTTTATACATTGTGTCTTTATTTGTATAGTAATAATTTAATGAAACATAACATCCCAAAATTGCAACAAAAAACGATTTGTGATGTGAGAACATTTTTGTACAGTAACCAAATTCTATTTCCATCATACACTGATAGCAAACAAAAGAAAATGTTTGAATGTGATGTAAATGTGACACACAGTTTCTAAATAGGGAAGACATTTAAACACATCTGCTACACTTTCTTAACATATCCGTACAGTGTTTTTGTTTTCGGAGTCAGATGTATAATAATATGAGGTATCGCAAGAAGCAGTATTGATATTTTGTCAAGTACATAGTTAACATTACTTTGAGCAATACAACAGCTGTGAATGACCTTTAGATCATATTTCCAATGAAAGAAACAAGAAATTGACATGGTTTGAATGTGTTGTGTTCATGAGTAATTTCCACACATGGTTTAAATGCGTTGTGTTTATGAGTAATTTCCACACATGGTTTGAATGTGTTGTGTTCATGAGTAATTTCCACACATGATTTGAATGCGTTGTGTTCATGAGTAATTTCCACACATGGTTTGAATGCGTTGTGTTCATGAGTAATTTCCACACATGGTTTGAATGTGTTGTGTTCATGAGTAATTTCCACACATGGTTTGAATGTGTTGTGTTCATGAGTAATTTCCACACATGGTTTGAATGTGTTGTGTTCATGAGTAATTTCCACACATGGTTTGAATGCGTTGTGCTGTGTTCATGAGTAATTTCCACACATGGTTTGAATGCGTTGTGTTCATGAGTAATTTCCACACATGGTTGGAATGCGTTGTGCTGTGTTCATGAGTAATTTCCACACATGGTTTGAATGTGTTGTGTTCATGAGTAATTTCCACACATGGTTTGAATGCGTTGTGCTGTGTTCATGAGTAATTTCCACACATGGTTTGAATGCGTTGTGTTCATGAGTAATTTCCACACATGGTTTGAATGTGTTGTGTTGTGTTCATGAGTAATTTCCACACATGGTTTGAATGTGTTGTGTTCATGACTAATTTCCACACATGGTTTGAATGCATTGTGCTGTGTTCATGAGTAATTTCCACACATGGTTTGAATGTGTTGTGCTGTGTTCATGAGTAATTTCCACACATGGTTTGAATGCGTTGTGTTCATGAGTAATTTCCACACATGGTTTGAATGCGTTGTGCTGTGTTCATGAGTAATTTCCACACATGGTTTGAATGCGTTGTGCTGTGTTCATGAGTAATTTCCACACATGGTTTGAATGTGTTGTGTTCATGAGTAATTTCCACACATGGTTTGAATGTGTTGTGCTGTGTTCATGAGTAATTTCCACACATGGTTGGAATGTGTTGTGTTCATGAGTAATTTCCACACATGGTTTGAATGCGTTGTGTTGTGTTCATGAGTAATTTCAACACATGGTTTGAATGTGTTGTGTTCATGAATAATTTCCACACATGGTTTGAATGCGTTGTGTTCATGAGTAATTTACACACATGGTTGGAATGCGTTGTGCTGTGTTCATGAGTAATTTCCACACATGGTTTGAATGCATTGTGTTCATGAGTAATTTCCACACATGGTTTAAATGCGTTGTGTTTATGAGTAATTTCCACACATGGTTTGAATGTGTTGTGTTCATGAGTAATTTCCACACATGGTTTGAATGTGTTGTGCTGTGTTCATGAGTAATTTCCACACATGGTTGGAATGTGTTGTGTTCATGAGTAATTTCCACACATGGTTTGAATGCGTTGTGTTGTGTTCATGAGTAATTTCAACACATGGTTTGAATGTGTTGTGTTCATGAATAATTTCCACACATGGTTTGAATGCGTTGTGTTCATGAGTAATTTACACACATGGTTGGAATGTGTTGTGCTGTGTTCATGAGTAATTTCCACACATGGTTTGAATGCATTGTGTTCATGAGTAATTTCCACACATGGTTTAAATGCGTTGTGTTTATGAGTAATTTCCACACATGGTTTGAATGTGTTGTGCTGTGTTCATGAGTAATTTCCACACATGGTTGGAATGTGTTGTGTTCATGAGTAATTTCCACACATGGTTTGAATGCGTTGTGTTGTGTTCATGAGTAATTTCAACACATGGTTTGAATGTGCTGTGTTTATGAGTAATTTCCACACATTGTTTGAATGCGTTGTGTTCATGAGTAATTTCCACACATGGTTTGAATGTGTTGTGTTCATGAGTAATTTCCACACATGGTTTGAATGTGTTGTGTTCATGAGTAATTTCCACACATGGTTTGAATGTGTTGTCTTCATGAGTAATTTCCACACATGGTTTGAATGTGCTGTGTTTATGAGTAATTTCCGCACATGGTTTGAATGCGTTGTGTTCATGAGTAATTTCCACACATGGTTTGAATGTGCTGTGTTCATGAGTAATTTCCACACATGGTTTGAATGTGTTGTGTTCATGAGTAATTTCCACACATGGTTTGAATGTGTTGTGTTCATGAGTAATTTCCACACATGGTTTGAATGTGTTGTGTTCATGAGTAATTTCCACACATGGTTTGAATGCTTTGTTCATGAGTAATTTCCACACATGGTTTAAATGCGTTGTGTTCATGAGTAATTTCCACACATGGTTTCTTCTAATACAGGTGGATATGACAAAGGATATCATACAGATAGAGCCAGCGTGGAATGTTTTGATCCAGAAACACAAGAATGGTCATTTGTAGCCGAGATGGAAAAGGCTAGATCTGGTCTAACTTTGGTTGCCATGGATCACTTTCTCTATGCATTTGGTGGTACACTAAGACACACAGACCAGTATTTTGATGTAGCTGAAAGGTAAGTCTGCTTTATTAAATTATTAGTAACTTTTACCACTTTCTTCTAGATTAAATAATCATGGAGCATTCTATTAATTTGTGCCCATGAATTGAACAAAATGATCATATTTCATATCAAAATACAAAATCTTGCAAATATACTCTTACACCAACATAGTTAACATGTGCAGCAATGGACTTTGATCGAAGTAACATTCGTCAGTTGAAGCACCTTGTGTTTCACTTGGTTGTAAGTTCACATGACTGGATTTGAACTCTGGACTGTATTCTTTTGACATTGTATGGTCAGGAGTTTCTGGTACCACTGAGCATCTGACCTTTCCAATGTGATGTGGACAGTCATGTTTTTTTTTTTAAAATGCTGTTCTGGAGCCATTATCTAATGTTCCTGGATTAATTACATTAAAATGTTACCCACATATACTACATTGAGGATTCATGCGATTCAAGTGTCTCATATCTGCCATTAACACAACTTATATGTCGTTTTAGTTTACTATTTCATGACACAGACTGTAATGGCAATGACTTGGTATTTGATTCCTAAAATTCACTGCCCACAACTCTAAGCAATTTATAATGAAGTTGGTGATGAAAAAAATAATTACCTTTTTAGATGTAACCATGACAAAATTAGGGAATTAAGAAATGCATTATTCACAGCAATCTATGTTTATGCTCCTAATGTACAACTATTAGCTAGAGGATATTTTTTTTTTTTTTTTTCAAGTTCTGATATTTTTATTTGTAGTAGTCTAGCAAAATTTGTTTTTCATGTTTTAGAATTGTTTTAGCTTATTTTGTTTGTGTTATTTTGGACTTTACACTAGCTCTGTATTGTGTACGTGCCAAATAAAATATTCTATCTTATCCGACACTGTAGTTGCATAACTTCCCTGATATCAATGTCTTTCTTTGTAGAAAAATTTTTTACTCACAAAGGGCAAAGTAACCATAGTATAACTATGTTTGTTTATAGATATAACACACAGACGCACCAATGGACTTGTATACAGCCTATGAACAGAGCTAGAGCATGGCCAGCGGTGGCTATATTTGACAATTGTATCTATGTTATTGGCGGCTTTGATGGTTCAAATAGACTACGTACTGCTGAGAAATACGATCCACATACAAATACATGGACTTACATCAGTAACATGAATGTCAGCAGAGCTGGCTGTGGTGCTGCCGTCATTTGACCAGACATGTGACTAATTGGACTATTACAAACTAGCTAGGGGGTTTTGATTATGCCCAGCTGTGAGCAGATGGGATAAGACTATTACAACCAAGCTAGGGGGTTATGATTATGCCTCGCTGTGAGCAGATGGGATAAGACTATTACAACCAAGCTAGGGGGTTATGATTATGCCTAGCTGTGAGCAGATGGGATAAGACTATTACAACCAAGCTAGGGGGTTATGATTATGCCTAGCTGTGAGCAGATGGGATAAGACTATTACAACCAAGCTAGGGGGTTTTGATTATGCCGAGCTGTGAGCAGATGGGATAAGACTATTACAACCAAGCTAGGGGGTTTTGATTATGCCTAGCTGTGAGCAGATGGGATAAGACTATTACAACCAAGCTAGGGGGTTTTGATCATAGCTACATGTAGCTGTGAGCAGATGGGATAAGACTATTACAACCAAGCTAAGGGGTTATGATTATGCCTAGCTGTGAGCAGATGGGATAAGACTATTACAACCAAGCTAGGGGGATGTGATCATAGCTACATGTAGCTGTGAGCAGATTGGATCAGACTATTGCAACCCAGCTAGGGGAGCTATGGCCACGGTGTGGTTGGAACCCCTAGCTTGTTGAGATCAGACTAGACTACTAGGTCTGTGATTTTCATGTGGTGGTGGTATTAAGATATAACAAATTTGGGAATTACTGCAGAATACTTTATTTTCGCTTGGAATTTATTTTTGCTATTTTCGCTGAAAGGATGATTCTGTGAAAATAAAATCCAGCAAATATACTTTTTTTCCTATATTTCACATTCAACTCATCAAAAATCTGAAAATAAATTCAATAAAGAACGCCCAAAAAGGCTTTT